TTATACTACAACCGCGTTCGCAACCGCTTTGCGAGCGCGGATCCGATTACAGTGTGAATGAGCGGTAAGACTCACGTCTTGATCCAGGCTCATGCTCATGAGCCTTGAAACTCACAATCACACTCAAGAGATCGCAAAACTCACGCTCGTGAGTACTTCACTTAGAACTCAAGCTCACACTCATGAGTCCTCAGAACTCACGCTCATCAGTTTTCAGAACTCACACTCGAACTCATGAGTTCTCTGGAGTCAAACTCACATTCAATGGTTTTCAGAACTCACGATCACACTCACGATCAAACTCACGCTCATGTGTTCGCAGGACTCGCACTCACACTCACACTCATGAGCTCTCAGTACTCACGATCACACTCACAATCAGACTCACGTTCATGAGGTCTCAGGACTCACACTCACATTCACACTCATGAGTTCACATAACTTACGATCACACTCACACTCACACTCATGAATTCATATAACTCACGATCCCACTCACACTCACGCTCACAATTTTTCGAGACTCGCGGCCTCACTCACGATCACCTCAAACCTGACGGTGAGCGTGAGTGATCGTGAGTGATCGCACTCATGAGTGAGAATGCCGAGGTATGGTAGTACACGCTTCAGAGCTTCCCTTGAAAGTTCGTGCAGGCACAACTTACACTTTCCCACAACTTAAAAGAGCCATTCGCGTAGACAGTTTATACGGCTACTCTAAGCATAGTCTGACAAAGAGCACTGTTTGTAGAGGAAGGAGAAAGGGAAATTTGTTTCCTCACACTGATAAATCTGAGCCTGTCCTAGGCGAATTCAGCACAGGCGCCTGAGACTGCCTCGTCGAGTGGGTATCTGATATTTATCTGATATTGTTGGTCAGCGAGGTGTCAGCAGTCCTATCGGATATATCGTGGTGAATATACAAAAACGCATTTACGGATGTATTTAGAAGCCTCATCTAAACGACATGTAATATACAATTTTGCCAAATATTTGGCAGTGCGCCTTACTTATATATATTTCTGTTTTTTTTTTGTCATTTTAGGTGCGTTTCCCAAACTCCAAAATAAGCCGAATGAAGTACTTTGCACAAGGAAGATATTGTCACGGATTGAAGATATTAAGCAAATGTAAAACTAAAAATACATTTATTGAAGCGAGCTTGAGCCTACATACTTAAGGGAAAGGTACCAATGCCTTGCGTCGGGGACGAAAGGGTGACTGACCGAAGCAGCGTGTTGCCGCTGCTTTTATACACGCGGTACATTCAGGAATGTTCTGAACCAAAACGAACAATAAAATAATGGGTTGCAACTTCAAGAAACATAAAAAGGATTTAAAAAAAAAAGGTCCAGATCGAGTTTTGTTCGAATCGCATCCGCCGCGTGGCAGCCGTGCGCATTGCCAACTCCTCCATGCATGCGGTAATTTAAATACGAAGGCAACATTTTTTACACAAATTTAGGGTGTTTGCATGGGAGAAGTCATAAGTAGGCGCGTACGAAGACGTCGATCACTTGAAGGTTTTTATTTTGTATTTTGGGGTAATGTACAGCAGCACACAAACTAATTCACAAATGAAAAATCTCAATCGGTCACATGCGCCTCTTTAGATACATGGATCATAACTTTGGTCGCATGATCGGCCACTTCCTGAGAGCTGAAGATGATGTCGTAGAGTACATTTCTTGCATTGATTTGTAATAGTATCTTCAGCTATAATAACTACAAGGGTTTACATACTTCTTGTGCTCATTGTTGCAGTTTTATTTCTGTGTATTCAACGTGCCATCATTTAAAATAGGAAGACTAGGGCGACCATCATTGACCGTAATGATGCGCACGACAAAGTTCATTCTTGTGCCTTTGCCTTAATCTTTAAAATGCAGTAAATTTTGTACGACTAATCTGCAAACAACAATATGTATAATGTGTTAATTGTTACAAGTAAAGCTGTGCAAAAGAAAAAATTCATGTTAATATGTTTTGTATCAAAGTTTATTTCGCATTGGAGCACACCGGGACGTGGACACACTGTGCTGTAACGAACCACTGCATCCTCTTACAGCGATCTTCGGGAGCGGCCCTTTTGGTCCCATTTATGGCTTGGGGCCTGCGAGTTTGCCAGGAGAATTTATTTAATCTCCTCTGGAAGGTGAACTTGCGGTGCAAAAAAACAGCTTGAAGAAGTAAATTTAGGTTGAGCGCATTGATCCTTCCTCTACTTCCGAGATTTCAAAGATTGCTAAAAATATTATAAAAAAGAGTAACTTTCCCTTAAGGAAGCATTGTCTGTAATAAGGTGGTTAGTTTGGCGAGTTGGTGATATTGAACATGGTTAAATTTGCGCGCAAAAAGAATGGAACAGAGGATAAACTTTTTTCTTCTTTCTCCTCTGTTCCTTTCTATTTGCGCTCAATTTTAGCCGTGTTCAACCGGTGTCTGCTTTGTGGTCTATTTGGAAATAAGAAAATAAAGGAAGAAGAAAAAGAAACCTTTATATTGAAGTTTACTGTCAATGAATGCATTCATTTTTTTCATAGTGTGGACAGTTGACAAGGTTAAGGGCATTTAGCTATATATAAAAAAGATGCGGCTTAATTTTTCGTACTTAACTGAGGATACAAAATTTTTGTAATTTAAAATTGAGACCCTCATGAAGCCGATGCAGTCTTAAAGGGACGCTGAATATGGTTTTGAGTAAGAACGATTTAGTGGTGATTTCTGATGTATTTTTTATACCCGTGACTTTATTTATCGCAAGCATTTTACCCAAAACATATCTACAGACGCGGAAAAAAAAACACTTCGTGTTACGTCGCACTCAGAAGATTCCGCTGCTTGGCGCATGACGCTTCGGAGGCAACGCCGGCACCAATTTTGTCTGCTAGGGTAAAGCTTGCAGAAAGCGCGGACATTTTGAGATCTCTCTATAATACATGATGATTTCCTCCTTGCGCCGAACGTGACGGAAAGGAGGGAATTCAGCGCTATTGGAACTCGCTGTTTTTTTTTACTGGGCACATCAGTCTGAAATATGCTTTTGATATTCGTAATACTGAGGGCCAAGTAAAAACTATTTGGATAGTTTTTCTCAATAACAAAACCGCTTAAGTTTCACGGTAATCAGTGTTTTATGACGTATGGCACTTCGTTGTGACTTAGTTTTACCCAGAATGACTGAGCTTGCCGCATAAGTTATCGTATGAGGTGGGACAACATGTCGCTTACCTTTGGCAACAATTTCGCCCAGCTGATTGAAAAGGACCTCTATGATTAAAAAGAAAAAAAAAGATAATTTTTACAATTTGTAACTACACATATATAATATACGTATTCCCGGTTTTTATCTCCGTTTCATTTCAAAAAAATTATGTTAGCCAGCTTAAGGGGTTCAAATCGTTTAGAGAACATAGCTTTCACAAACTTTCACTATCATTTCCCAGGGCGTTAAAAGCATTTATAAATGCTTTTAACGCCCTGCGATATGACAGTCAGGAAATACTCCATGCGCAGGCTTTATTCCACTTTTTTATTAAACGTTGAATTGAACAAGATTTGGGGACTCTGAAAGATATTTTAATGATAATTATGAATGATTAAAAACAGTGATTTTAAATTGCGTAAATATACGGGATCGAAATACCTAATCGGCCTTTATATCTTTTCTTAAGAAATCACAACACATATCGCTAAAGAGGTTTTCCGACAGTTATTTAAGCTACAAAAACTAGCGAAATCTTCAGAATCACCGGCCTTTATCTTTCCCGCATCTATTTAATGTTGCAAAATAGTTACAGTGATATCAGCGAGTGAAAATGATGCCGAAACCAGCATTAAAATATACCCGCGCTTTTCGTCATCGTGATATGAGTTGAAGGCATACTTTCAGGTCGAGTGGGGTGCCTAAAGGTGGAAGATGCCGAGCATTTGTTTGGTGCTGCGGCACGGACGCTGGAACGAGCTTCCAAATCATTCAATTGACTCCATAAAATTTCTTGTAATCATGCAGTGGGAACAAAGTGTACAAGCCAAAGACTTCAACACCTGACGTCCTCTGACGTGACTTTCTTATTGCAGCAAGTAGCAACTTTCATTTTGAAAAACACGCTGAGGACCAAAATTGTTAATTTAATAACTTTGCCGAAACATTAATTTCGGCCCAGTATTTAGGTTACTGTATCAGCGGTCTTTGTTGGTGCGTTAACGAAATTTTTATGCAAATCTGGGACTATAAAAAAACGCTAGAGTTATATAACAAAATTCTAAAATCTAAATTTTCAAATGAAAGACATTTGTCTCTGGTTATGACAGGTAAATTTGCCGTTTACAGGAGAGGCAGTAGCATCATCTTATGGCTTACTAACTTGCGGCAATTTACAAGCGTATTTATAATTCTCAATTATTCGGATGCCTTCCTTTGTGTCTTGTGTAATGTGTGCTTTTTCAGGTTGATAAAACTCTTCGTTGATGTATGAGCAGAGATATAAACCTACAGCGGCGACATTTTCAACGTATATATTCGGTCACCTATAAAACATTTGCATGTTAGCTGGATAAGTTTGTCAGATAAACATAGATTTTTGTTCTCATGCAGTTTAAGCCTATAAAAAAGGTCAAATAAAGTGTAGTAAGTAGCCCGTAGCTCAGCCTAACCTTTATGTAATTTTTGTGGGCTCTGTACGTAGTACTTTGCAAAGCATAACATCAGTGTGTATATTTATGGTGCGACATGATGCATGCCAAATTAATGAGATTGTATAATGTCGTGACCGTTTGAATTTTATGATTTGAAGATTTATGGGCTTGAAAATTTTAAAATGAATATAGGGAGTTCTCTGTGGCGACGCCACAACAGTATTGTCTTTTATCGTAATTTAGAATAATATTCAGAACACGATCTATTTACAAGGTTATGAAGAGAAGGAAGTAGGTTGATGAAAGCATCCTGTTAAAGTTAAGGTGCAAACTATTTCCGAGCGCTGAAACTGAGATATGAATTACTGACCAAGATCGCTTTTTCCCACGTTGACATTTGCTGCAGAGGAAAAAAAAAACGATTTATGCGTCCATTAGAACTGATAGTAACAAGCAATTTGATATGCTATTAAGGTAATTACGTAAAAACGTTTTAGGGCAAAACACATTACACTGGGCACAGTAATATTGCATAAAAATTAGTTTGGTTTAACAGTTAGTTCATACTTATGTATTAAACTCGGCTGTACATTTGTCTAAATCACCTCCTGAAAATTCCCAGTCGCCCCTTTAAAACACATGAGCATGCACGGGACACCTGGGAACACGAACGCTCTTCCTGTCCTTATCACTTAAACCAGTGGTCCATGGGATCAAGCTCTCACTGGATGTGCAGCCTGCACAATGCCTCGCAAAAGGAAGCAAAAGGGCTGAAGAGGAGACTGCTGAACAGAAATAGAGATGTGCTGAGCATGACCATGCTTGACGTACCAAAATGATGCCGGTGGCCCTTACAAAGCCATGCATAAAATGTGTGGGATTTGTTCTTTTTCTTTCATCAAAATTGAAGGCGCACATTATAGGCATTCTAAAAGACAAGCGAAACATTGAAATTGTGATGTGTTTAGTAACGAAGCATCTGAAAAGTACACCTCCTTTTTGCGCTTTCGGGTGAAAAATTGTGAATGTAATATATGTGTATCATTGTAACACTGTCATTCATAATTTGAAAAAAAGTTTCCGAATTTTCGCGTTTCATGCATAGGTTGCGTATTTCATTACCTATTTCTTAAATGGTAGGTTGAGGGATGGTTTTCTTAAACTGGCTTTGGCACATCAGGTTATGAGTAAAATTAAGGTGGAGTCTTTATTTAGCAGATGAATATAACCATACTGGAACCCCCTGCTTGTTTGTATAAATTACCGCCATAAATGTCCTTCCATCACGATTGTGGTATTATTATAACACGTGTAAGAAGGGTAAACGGTGGGCAGACATAAATATGGGGCACATAAAACGATGAGTCATACCGATGGTGCCCTTCACTGTTTCCATCAACTTTGTTCCTGTACGGGGGAAAGAAAATGAAGGCAATTTGACAAAGCGGCAAGCCCTGCGTAAGTTATGTTAGGAGCTGAACTACAAATAAACAAACAAACAAACAAACAAGCAAATTTTTTAACCTGCATTAAAATACTAAAATATATTTGTGCGGGAGATCATTTTAGATTCATGTGGTGGATGAGATACTTCGACGAAGATATTTTTCAGCCTATTGTGATGCATTAGCTCAAACATGCCTTAATTACAAATATTATTTGTCAGCTTTACAACAACTCGGATAACATTGGTACCTAACGTTTTTGAGTATAATTGTTAAATGTAGGGACCCATGAGAGTGACAAGTAATTAAAAAAAAGTACAAACAGGATTGAATTCAATGTATAATATTGTTTTTTGCGTTTCACGTTTTCTTTCAACGTGAATTTTTATTATCTCTCCTGCGATAGTGCGCTAATAAATATTGCAGGTTTATGTCCTGTACTTGTTATCCTTTATTAACCATCTTGCTTTAACCAATTCATGTAAAAAACTGGTAAAAAGCTATTTACTTTTCAATATATTTCACAATAATCGATATTATTACTACTCTACGCCCGATACGACAGGCCTTGTTTACAATTGAGTTTTACATTACATGCAACGAAACATTTTTTTAAACTATTTAACATTCTCTAATGTTTTTTAACAAAATTTTATAAAACAATTGAGTGAGGGTTACACTGGTTCCGTCTTTAATTTGCATTTAACACCCTCAGCGGATATTAGGCGATGGGACTGCCGTTGCGGTAAAGAAAACAATCAAGTAAAAACTTTTGAAGTAGATCTTTTGCTTATATTTTAATAGTTATGTTGCAATATCAGTATTCACAGCGTCCCGCCTATCGTTTCAGCGTTGTTTTGTGAACACCGAATATTGGTTCAGTTTCTTTTTTTGCTGGTATGTAAGTGCTAGCATTTTGTCTTCGCTGAGAGTAAGCTTAGATAATATAACGTAAGCTCTCGGGTCTAAGGATATATACTATTCCTTACCAGTGTTCTGGACGCTGTTCTGGAAGTCAACACCCTCTGTAAAGTCAAGGGGTTCATTGTTTAGGTTATGACTTTCTACATCTTCATATAAAAGTCTGGTTCTGAAGAACATTTTCTACATCTAGATTATTCAACCAATTCGCGGGAGGATTATTATCATCCTGTTCATTTAAAAAAAATAGAGGTTAAAGACTCGAAACAATAGCCTAAAAGTTCAAACTTCTTTGTTTCAATACATTCCTGGTATACAAAATATATAAAAGGAAATGCTGTTCGGTATGAAGATAGAGGATAATGACAATAATAATAAGATTATTATTTATTTCGGCTCAGGAAAGCCACAATGCTGCAGAAAGGCTGGAGCCCATACCAATGTAGGCCTGCTGTGCCGTTGAAGCTAAGCCGAAGATACAAGTGAACAACTTGAGCTTCTTTAAAGAGTAACTTACGCTTGGTGAAAAGGGCTTTAATCTCATCGTAGACGTCACCTGAAACATAGAGATGTTCATGCATTATGGTTTAATATAGCGTTTAAAGGTATACCAGATAGCACAAGACAATAGGTGAATTTAAAAGTATTGTGATTTACAATACTTCTCTACAGCTTCATCTGGCGAAGGCCGAAGACCACGGAGCACAAACATTAATGATATAACTTCAACGCGTCACAACGTGACGCGTTGAAGAATGTGTGCACAGTAGTTCAACATCTTTCAAATAGTATTCGACGGTAATTGTTTTAATACAAAATATTTATGATAATACACAATATGGAATATATTTATGAAGTTTACACTCTGAAAGTTCGGTGCCAATGCAGCCTGGGAAATCTTTCAAATAACGAATTTTATTAGCAACAGCATAAAGATCCTGGTCAGCGTCATATCCTAGTTGTGCTCGAATATAAGGCTTCATGTTGAGATTCAAAAGATTTTCGAAAGGAATGTACAAACTAAATTTAAAAAAAGAATGACAAGATTTTTTATAGTTCTAGCAACATAATATTAGCACCACTATTTGTGATTTACGGCAAAATGCAGAACAAAACGGGTTGTATGTGGACGATTCTAATGTGTTAAAACTATGATAAACTAATTAATACACAGCAACAAAGAAACAAAAAATGCAAAATGTTTAAGTCTAATAAAAGTTTTTGATGAATCCGTCACTCACCAAGGTCATTAATGCCGGCATACAGTTTTCCTGGAAGAGGAAGGAAACAAAGCATTTATAAAAACAAGAAATTAATATTGCAAGTGAAACGCGTGTTATTTCTCTTGTACAAAGCGAACTTCCAGAACTAAAATAGCAACGTTTGTTGTTGCAGTATTTGCGTATTTTTGTTTGTAAGATCTGCGGGAGTAACTTATTTTATGTCTGTACTCGATTCAAAAGAAAGGCCAGCGCAAAAGGCTCACAAGTGCGACTTATCTCTGGTAACTTTGTTTTAGCATTCAAAGTCTCGAACAATTATGAAAGAGTTTTCTGTTGTGTATTGGTTCTTACTTACCTTTGATGTATTCCACACGAAAGAGTAGGTCTTGACCTAAAAATAAATTAATATATTCACAATTTTAAATTTCAAACTACCAGAAATTGTTTAAAGCAAAATTTTGATGTCAACAACTCTTTGTGATCAAACCATGACCGAGTTCGTAGATCTAAGTTTAATCGAATACATAAGTTGTATTTCGTTCGTGCCTCTACACTACCCGAACTTCAGAAAAACATATTTTTGTATATAGAAGTGCTTTGCACAAAATACTTAGAATTGAAAATTCAAATAACTATTGTCGCTATATGTAAGTTACGCGCAGTGCATGCTGCTTGTCAGGCGTCAAAATGTAGATGACAATCAACTTTCTTTTCGTTTGCTCGCTCTTTATGACTTTTTTGTGGCAGTTTTATCTAGAGGACAATATTTCTAACTTAGAACGGTTTAGATTAAAATATTATTTCAATGAGATTTGCATGAGACTCAAGAAATGATACTAAGCGATTGTGTTCACCAGCAAGCTTACCTTTCGCGCTAACATCCTTGGCCGGGACCGCATCTGGGAAGGCATATTAAAAAAAAAATATTACAACTCTTTAGTTTTAATAATCGCGAAATATACGGAGACCTGGCCATCCAACTAAAAATGATATCAAACAAAGCAGTCATAGCAGGTATCATTACTGCATATATAACGTTTAAATTTTGAATGGGAGCAACATGCAATATTTATTTCCTTTCTACGTAAATATTTGTATTCTAACTCATTCAAATATTTTCCAGGAGCGGGAGAGATATCTAACCGCAATATAAAAACATCACCGCTAATTGAATTTTACACTTCTATGGGTTATTCGCGGTTCTGGCTTAAAGAACAAAAAGGGTTTGCAAATAAAAGAAAAAAAAAACAAGAAACACAGGTTATCTTCTATTCGGTGGCACGAACTATTTCCGGTGAGCCCTTGTTAGAGGCTGCAAGTATGTTCATGAAATGATTCATGTGCTTTATAAGATACAAGTCGCGTTTGTAACACTCAGCTGAACTGTTTTGTAAGTGTTTCTCAGCTGAAAAGTTTCACTGGTTGTTAAATTTTTATTTGTTCCCGGTCCAAGTTTTATCATAGTAGAGTGCCATATTTTCGGCCTTGTAGTTTTTCACACTTCATTTTCTAATATGTTCAATTTGTAACATATTTTATGAACGAGCACACAAAAAGCGCTGCCAAACTGCAAAACTCAAAACCTGAATGTTCTTTCATATATTAAATATCTTTAAAAATGTTACCTCAGCACTTACATTTGCTGATGTATTTTACCTAGTGTGTTGTTGCAAGCTTACCTCTTTGTGACGACGATGAAGTTGCACTCGTCAAATATAAAACAAAGCGTAACATTCCGTGAATTCTAAACAGGGCCGTTTTCGCAGTAGAATAGTACGTGAGATACCCTAAAGGTTAATATGTTGGTATGTTCGAGAAGTTTTCATTGCTATTGAAGGGTTTACAAGTTCAGCGCTCATATAAATTACACGCCAGTTGAAAAAAAAAATTTCCAGGCGGATCGCGCATTCCTTTGGAAGGAGTCCATCTTTGTTACAAGTTTTTGGTTTGTACAACCTCTTTTCCCGAACCGGTTAAACTTACCTTTCACGAAACCTTGGACATCGTACTGGCCTTGGGCCACACCTGCAATATGTGAGTTACAGTGACATTGTTTCATGTAATATAGTTTTAGTACAAATCTTTAGCCAGCATCACCTCAACCTACCTGTTAAGTTCAGCATAGTTTATCGCATGTAAACCAAACATGAACCCGTAATTCATTCATGTGTATAACATCTCGCTGTACAAAGAAGTTGCAATTCAAATTAGTCGTGTACCCTTATTCAAATAAGTTGTGTAAGTGCAATTCAAATTAGTTGTGTAAGCCAACAACACATACAACTGACGCTACCTTAGTTAAGCATGAAAGGCCCAGACGGACCTCGTATAGCTCCTGCGTAAACAAAATCACGCAGAAAGCAGTAAAATGTATGGACGTGTCCTGATCGTATGTCCAACATCGAGGAAATTTATCGTTCTCCTTGTAGTCTGTGGTTGCCTGAGACGCCGTACAAAGCTACGAAGCCAGAGAGGATCTTTTAGTGACCAATTCTTTTTAGCCAGGACGGTACCCGATATCCTCCACATATCTCGCATCTTTCCGCTCCAAAATGGCGCCACAATGACCTTCATCCGATTTTGGCACTGCTCCGGACGTTTCAGCATGGTTTTCCCGAGTCTGTTCACCAATGTTCTACAGGCTGGCAGCCCCCTACCGTTGTAAAATGACTCGGGTCACGCCGGTGTATAAATGGAATAGTTCCCCAACATCATCAGCTGCCGCATACCAGCCCATTTCGACAACCTCCGTCATCTGCAGAACGATAGAACAAATCCTCCAGAAAACACGAATTCCTGGCGCGCATCGGGCAGCACAAACTTCTCTCACGTTGACAGTACGGCTGTTGTGAGAATTGGATGTCAGTCTTTCCACAACATCGTCTCCAAAGAGTTGCCTCCAGAGAAGCAGTATCAAGCGCTAAACGTCTCCTTTCGGGAATCCCTGGAAGAAATTTTCTTGTACAAACTTTGTTCAACACCTTTTTTAATGATTTAACGACGTCCTAGCATTGCATGCCCCGTCTGTACGCCGATGACCTCATCATTATCTAGACAGTCCAGCGGTCCTTCGAGCACCATCAACTTCAGGACCTCCTGTACGTTGTCCGCGTTTGGTTGGTAAACAACAATGTTCCCTTATTTACAGCAAGTACACATCAACCCTAAAGATTACGTCCAGAAGCCGTGTTACCGTTCAGCAGTCTCGAGCTCAACGAAACCGCATTCCCTCCTATCGATCGCGCAAGGCTCGTTTGAATGACAATAGACCCTAAATTAAATTTCTTAACTCAGATTGGCGAGGCGGCTTCCGGTGTCAGGCGGATGCTTGGTTTCCTGTTTCGGGTTACCCGGGGAGATGGCGATACTGCTCTGTGACACCTATACACTACAGTGGTCCTACCATGCCTGGAGTTGTGTGCCGCGGTTTGGGACCCCTACCAACTCTCGCTATCAGCATTCCTCGAAAGTGTGCAGCGAAGCTATGCTTATGCGGCGCTCTTGAGAGTGTTGGGATTGACCTCTCTGACACATCGTCAAATAGTGGCAACCCTCAAGCTCGTAAAAAACCGCATCGTTTAGAGGGACTCCGAGCTCCCGCTACTGCAGCATCTTCGCCAAACCAGGTCCTGTGGCCTTCAGTTACTCTTCTGGCGTTCCGAGGGGCACAAAAAACTCGTTCGAAGTAAAAACTGCGGCGCTCTGGCTCTCACTAGCAAAGGACATGGCGGAGTGCACTCCCCATAGAGCAGGAACACCTCAAAAGCTTGGTGCAGGGAAGAATCACTCTTCCTTGAGGAACAATGGGCGCCACCTTTTGTTCCTTTCCTTTCCTTTTTTTTTTGCATATATTGCTGTGATGAAGAAAACGACGGCCTGTTTCGGCGCCACGGGCGGTCAGTCTCGAATTAAAAAGCTAAACCGCAAACAGATGTCTCTTTGCTAGGTCCCAGAACCACGTAACAATATTTATTTTATGTGTGAGTGTTATTGTTTTTAGTTTAGAAGATTTTTTTTGTATTAATGGGACCAAGCAAGCAATTAAACTGCCAGTCAAACTGTTTAAATATTTGACCGTACAGGTATGCGATGCGAACCTGTTAACACTGGACAGCGGCGTGGCGGGCTGGTTTGAAGGAGAGAGTGAGAGAGAGAGAGAGCGAAGGCGAGGCTTGATTTCGGGGAACTTCCAAGGTTGGGTGAATCTTATCCTGGGAGCTCCGAGATATCTTCGGGAAGGGAAGACAAAGAGTCATTTTGTCAAGGAAGCAGACAGGCGACGTGTGTTGTCGAAGGGGGGCAATTGCTGCCGGAAGAGGAGCACCAGGGAGACGAAGAAAGAAAACCAATGTGGACTTGGCGCAAGCTACGAATCAGCAGCGGAACTGTGAGTGTTCGTCTGTCGTGTACGGGTGATTAGCAACCTGGACGCAGCGCAGGCTTCAATACAGCAGCAAGGTTGTAGGTTTTCATTGGCCGCGTCTAGGAATTCTAATCTCATTTATTCCTGCAAGCCTCGGAGACATTGCAACCGTACAATTTTGCACCTTGAACTTTAACTGCAATTCCTCGCGTTGCTTTAGTTAAATGCATTGCTCATTTGAGCGAGTCTCTGCGTGTAATTTTTCTGCTGTGTCCTCACCAATAATTTAGCGGTGTTCGCGTGTACTTCGTGGTGTTCAGGACTTGCCTTTTTTAGCCTATATTTAACGATCCACGGAAAGCTAAATGCTGTCTCTCTTCGACGATGAACTCTATCAATGTGTTCCCTTCTGCAGGACTTTCCTTCTCGCCAGAGGTACGTCACGAGCTCTAATAAATTTGTAGGCCGAAGAACGCGTCAAGGGTGCGTTATTTGCGTGTACCACGTCCACCCCTTTCAAACTGTTCCCATTGGGGGCTAACTAAAGATTTCCCTCAGAAGGGTATCGTATTCAACGTGCGCCGGAATCGAACGAGTGCCTGTCTCCATGGGCCCCCTTATCAAACGCGTGCCGGTAGAAAACGGGTAGTCGTATCCCGGAATCTCATGACATGAGCGGGTCGACGGTCAGGCAACCTATTCGAATTCCAAATAGGTCGGCCATTTCGGAACGCGTTCGAATTTAGAAATGTTTCTTTCCCGGTAGAGGCGTGGAGGGAAACAGCAAAAACCTTCTTGTGGACGCTGTTGCTCAAAGACAGCGCAAAATAAAACAAAAACATGATTGTTTCTTACCGGTGAACACGGTGCTAAGTATCCTTGGACACCCTCAAGCAGATACAGCAGATGCGAGAGTATGTGCTGCTATTTGAAAGTAGCAGCATCAACCAGAATATCTTTAATGTTTAATTAACCTGAGACTGGGGTAGAGAAGAAACATCAAAACGTAGAAGAGACAAAAAATAGACAGGACGACGTCTCTACCCCAGTCTCAGGTTAATTCAACATATTCACCAGCTTGCCTGCACCCTTACGATTTTTTCAAAAAAACTGGTCGTTTTATTCTTAGAAAATATATTTAAAAAAGAAAACGTTTCTGGACTAGATTGCTTTTCCTAAAGCCTACATTACAATGCACCACCTAAATACACCTTTGCGAAACGTTTCAATGCCCTCTGTTCATTGGCTTGCATTTAAGAATTGTTTTACGTCCAAATAATACTTGCACACCCTCTATATTGTCTTTTTTCTAAACCGTGTCTTGCTGTTGTGAATCGTGGAAATTGTTTTACTTCTGTGTTTAGTGATAAAATAAGTGTGTTCATTTTAACATACAAGTGTCAATTCAATTTCGTTTCATAAGTTGTATTTTCAGCCGTGACAGTGTTTTGTGCGGGACGACATAAATCGCACAGTGGAAGGTATCAGTTTTCTACAACTTCCTTTCTTGCCTAGAATCTATCTGATGTGACACTCCTTTTGACATTTCCCTTGTGGAATTGTACTCTTAAGTAATTGAAAGTTTTTTTTAATTTTTTGGGGGGGTTTTCTATCGTGCAAAACGGCTGAGGGTTTCTGGGCCTCGCGCGCGTAAAAGGCGCGAGTGGGGGAGTGGAGGATGAGACGATAAAGTGAGATTCAACATTGTACTTTGTTAACTGTGTACACACTCACAAATATACATATACAGGGTGTTCTTTTTATACTTTCAGATTTGTTAAAGAAAGCCGCGAAAGCTACACTTATACGGTTTGTGCAGGTGAGTTATACAGCCAGAAGGACATAGTATAGGGAGATAGTCACAAATATCAGTCGGCTAATTAAGTAATATTTTTAATTAACTTTTTTAATTATTGCAAATAATCGCATAGTTCAAATTATAAACGCACTGAGCATCATCGAAAATCACTAAATCAACTTTTTTTCGAGGAATATGATGCCGGGCAGCATTTTACGGCGTTCTGCAAAAACGCTCCATTCGGACGCATTTCTAGATTTCGGTTTCTTAACGGAGCGCATCTACGCGCCTGCGGTCCTGCTCTCCAGTGTGTGAGATGCGCAACACACGTGCGCCCTACTTCCGTCCATTCTACGAGAGAGACGAGGGTTGGCTTTGCGCCGCGATGTTGTCCTTGTGCAGAACGTAAGGGCGCAAGGGAGCTGGTGTGTATCAAACATTTTAGCGAAAAACCCGAGACTGCGGTAATGACAGACGACGACAAGGAAGAGAAGGAGGACGTCCCAAACACAGCTAAACCTTTATTGAGGTAAGAACCCTTTATATAGGGTTGAAAAAAAGGAAGGAAAGGGAACCCTTGTTCACATCAGCTCTCTCCACAAAAGGTACGACACCACCTCTCTCACCTAAAGACACGACACCGAACCTCTAACAATGGGTCAAACCAACAAAAGAACTCACAGAACCAAAGATGACACATAAAAAAAAAACGCTGGGAAATTTAAAGATTGTACTGGACCTTTCACTGAGAAAGTCAGCTATAAGAACAAAAGGTTTTTAATACCATTAGATATCTAGAAATCGCTCTCATTCCGTATCTAAAGACATAGATGGCTTGTTCACTGTGTTCCCATGCTTGGTTATTGCGATTGACTCTTTCAGCAGGCGCTTGTTGTCGTTTTTTTCTGTTACAATTGGGGTTGTAAAAAGTTCCATAAAGGCACGCAATTCCTACACTCCTA